TGCGAGTATATGAAGGTACTCGTCGTCCGCTTCCGCGAAATCGGGTATCGAACCCTGCCTCTACAGAGTGACAAGCTTGCGCTTTGCCACTAGGCTATAGAATTGGCTCTTGCTTTTACGCTTTGCAGTCCCTACTGTTGATTTTGTTTTGACGCCGGTCGTAGAATCGCAGCGACCCTTTACACGACCTGCGCTGGACGCGCGAGACAGAAACCCTACCCCTGGCCAAAACCAACCCCCCGAACAACGTGCATCCGTCGACGACACACGGGACTGAATCGACAACGGCGCGTCATTGATGGGGAGAGCCGGATACTATGCCGATCTTCCAGCACCAACGCCTCAAGAAATAGCGAATCCTGCGCGTGCTTGTATTCTAAGTTGATGCTGCGATCAGTCGGTTTCCAAGCGCGTGACGCTTCCCTTCCACACTCGGACGATCTCACTTCGTCCTGCTCAGCATGCGCTCCCTCTGCTTGCTCACGATTCTTCTCTCGGTCACACTCGCTACCCTCAACATCTCGGACGACGAGCGCCATGAGCTCTCGCGTGACTTGACGCTCTGGCAAAAGAAGTTTGGCCACGACGACCACGTGCGCGCGGCCATGAAGCTGGTGCGAGGAACCTTGACGACCGACGACCTCCTCCGGCGCTTGAAGGCGACCAAGGACCAGCTCCCGACGATACGTGCGGCCAACCCGCACGCCACCTTTAGCCACTTGACCAAGTTTGCGCTGCTCACGGACAGCGAGTTTGCGCGGTTCGTATCGGGATCTGCGTCGGTCGTCACGCCGTTGCCTGCTGCACCGGCATCGACCAATCGATCGAATCGCAGTGCAACTGTCAGCGGGAACGCCTACTCGGTCGACTGGACTACACAGTCGATTTGCGTGCCGCCCGTCAAGTTCAAAGGCAACTGCGGCAGCAACTGGGCGATCGTAGCGGCAGCAGCCGTCTCGTCCACGCACTGCCTCACGACGGGCGACGCCATCAACCTCTCGGCGCAACAGGTCTTGGGCTGCTCGTACCCGGGCGGCACCGACGGCTGCAAAGGCGCTGGCTTTGCGCAGCATGCGATGCAGTGGCTCGTGTCGCATTCGGACGCGTTGTGCAGCGAGTCGGCGATCCCGTACACCTCGGGCGAGACCGGGTTGGCGCCGTTTTGCAGCGACAGCACCAAGTGCGCCGGGGCTTTTGCGCTCCAGGCCGGCCCGATCGTTAATCTGCGGGGCGAAGCCGCGCTCACAAAGCAGCTCCAGTTGCAGCCCGTCGTTGCGTTCGTAGCGACGCCCAACCATATATGGAAGTCGTACCGGGGCGGCATCGTCACGTGGTGTCCGCCGACGGTGTACGTCGACCAAGCCATGCTCGTCGTCGGCTATGGCACCCATGATGCTGGCTTCAACAACAATACCTTACTCCCTTTTTTCAAGCTGCGCAATACGTGGGGCACCAACTGGGGCGAGCGCGGCGACATTCGGATCTTGCGCGGTGAAGGCAACGACGAAGGCATATGCAAACTCGCCGCGAACCTTGTCTACTCGACGCTTCCGCCAATGGGCGCCAGCAAGGCGACGCTTCCGCCAATGGGCGCCAGCAAGGCGACGCTCCCTCACCAACCATAGTCATCGACCTGACATGTGCGTGCCACGTAGGACGTTGTAGTTTAGTCGTCCAGTGTTGGAGACCAAGTGAAGTGTTGAGACTATTGATGACCTTGGTTTCGTCGAATGTTTTAGCAAGGCAGCGACAACAGGTTGGAGCTTCGTGGGACGCATGGGGTCATCGAGTATTTAGAGGTGGAGAGAGCTCGTGTGAAAATATAGAAAAATGAAAGAAAATGAACAAAGGACTTCTCATAACACCAGCGTCCGCTCACACCGTCTTGGAATAGCAACGGCGGACGTTCATCAAGAGCCAGCAACTCAAAACTCAATTCGAGCTTCTGGCCGACATCCCGAGTCAACGGACGTGGTCACATACGATCATCAAAGTCATTTGTGATGTCAACTTTGAAAACAAAGTAGAACAGAGCCAATACTAAAGAATTTGATCCTGTATAAGTACGGTCTTAATTTCCAAATTGACCGTAAATTCTACCATTGCTGCGTTTGCAAAAGTCGGTGTTCCTCATGTACTTGCATGCTAAACACGCCTGACACCGAGTCCAGTGGCTTGATTTCTGCATGGCGCGTAGAAATCCGCATAATACCACGTGTTTCCGCATAATTTTGAATGAGTTCGTACGAGCTAGCGTATATTTACGGTAAAACCGCTCGTGATAGCGTGAATTTGTCGTGTAACACCATATACCCCTTTTACATCACACGATATCAAGAAATGCATATAGTGTGTGTACTGCATTGGCAAATTCAACCTGAACCAGGCCAAAAGAAGGATTTTCGGACCGAAACGTACGCTTCAATTAGGCTTTTGCAGGTGGCACCATCACAGACTGGACAGGCCGAGCGACCAACGCCAATGACGGGCTCTTGCAAGAGCGCAGCACGATGCTCTCTATCGTCATCCCATAGTCCGTGAGTATTCCTCAGGCGTCGACGCACCAACGCTTGGCAAAAGGTCATGCGACAGCAGCCCTCCTCACGCAGCAACCTCCACATCGAGCGTATCCTTCCTCGACCAAGGTACTTCATCGTTCTTGATGTTGAAGCATTGATGGGCCGCGCCAGATTGTTTCCAGGCGCGTGACGCACCACCGGTCAGCAGCTTTGTACATGCGAGAGCTTATGGCGCTCGTCGGCCGAGATGTGGAGCGCACCGATGGTCGTTGCGCTCGAGAGAAAGAGGGCGCCGATGGCGGCCATCGAGAGAAGCACCCAGTCAAAATACATTGCACGCCACCCGGCGAAACGTGATCTTCTGCGGTTGAAGACTTGACGCTCTGGCAACAAAAGTTTGGCCACGACGACCACGTGCGCGCGGCCATGAAGCTGGTGCGAGGAACCCTGGCGACCGACGATCTTCTCCGGCGCTTGAAGGCAGCCAGCACGACGTTGAGCCACTTGACCAAGCGTACGATGATCACAGACAACGAGTTTTCGCGGCGGGTAGTGACGCGACGTGCTTGTGCGATGGGCCGCGACATCGCGCTGCCGGCAGCCAACAGCGCCGCGCTCCCGACCAAAGCCAATCGCGACGATGTGCTCACGCACTGCGTCGACCATTGGTGCAAAGCCGGTGCTATGCTCTACACCCACATCGCAAGTCAAAAAGTCGCAATGCTCGTGACAGCGCAGACTCGACGATCCAGACTTCCAAATACCACGGTATCAAGTCGATAATATATACTGTTGTAGATTGGCAACGCTGCGGCGGACAACGGGTGCGGCCAAGCACACCAGCTGCAACGCAAAAACGACCTGTGCCACGACGTGTGTGCTTGTGCCGCCGACCGTGCACACGCGCCTCCAAGCGGCGGATGTTTTGATTTCCAAACATGTATGAATGAATATGGATGCTTTTGTCATGCAGATCTTACCGCCCGGAGAATGCACGACATGAGAGGTGCTAGCGTATCGAAGCAGATATATACATGCTGTGATATTGGAGCTAGTAATCCCCTTCCATTTGGTATACACGTTCTATACCTGCTTGCCACTAGCTAGCTATATGTACAGCACCAACATCTATGAGCCAGGTCTACCCGGTGCATCCTAGCTGCTGGCAGGTGTTGAGTGAAGAAGAGAAAAAGAGCTTTCCACGGGCATTTTGCTTGGGTTCGAGGACCCTTGCGCCATGCGCCAGACATTATACGCGGGTGCATATGGTCCAAATAGATGCAATGTCCTTTGAACCACACCCGCGTAGAATCGGAAAGTCGTGGCACCACCGGGGATCGAACCCAGCACCAACTGGGTTTTACACCAGCGCCTTAACAACTAGACTACTAGATGCCACTAGATTCCTCACGTTCGCAGTGCCTACTGTTGATTTCCTTTGCTGGTGGCCGTACAAAGGCACCTCCACCCTTTACGCGCTGGCCTGGCTCGAGAGAAACCCTAACCCTCGTAGGAACCACCAACCCATGCATGCGTCGACGACACACAAGACAATATGGACGGTGCATCCTTCTTGGTTGCGTGCTCTGAACCAAGGCAGTGCGGTACCGGGGCAAATGCCACAGAGACGCGCTTGCTCGGCTCTTCTCAGCCGTTGACTTGGCGACCGCAGAACTTGGAAGCCCCGGACGTAACCAAGCTAGCTCCAAAAACATCCGCAAGTTTAAGCCCGATATCACATCTCGACAAACTCCTAAATCCAAGGACTAACTTGGACACACTATGTCCATGTGCTCCATACGCTCACAGTTCCGTGAGCATCGCCCGCGTACACGTCGCCCGAGTCCGCATCGTACGCCAAGCACGTGGGCAGCGTCGAGAGGAGGATCGTCGCTCTCTGCGCCGCCATATCGCGCAAATGGCTCGGCCGCACGCGCAATTCGGCGCCACCTGCTGGTCTTTCGATGTGCACGTAAGGTAGCCGCAACGTACCAGCGACGGGTACGCACGAAACGATGACGTTGTCAGCGACCACATGGTGGACGCTGCCGGGTGTCTCGTGGAACCTACCGCCGTCATATGAGACCCTCGTCCACAGCCAACTGCAAATATACGTGGAGAGAAGCGACCCCGAGATGGAATACACGCGGACCGACGCCATGAGGTCGATCACGAGGAAGATCTTTGCGGTGGAGACGAAGGCAAAGCCACTTACGGGCACGTGCCGGGTTGCGGGGATCACGACGCACTTGCTCGTAGTCACCTGCGAGACCATGCATCGACGGGTTCTTGGATCGTATACTGCGTACGTTGAGAACGTGGAGGTGCTCGTGCTCTTGCTTGTACACGAGCATGTTGTCGAAAAGCTCGATCAAGACGATGCGCTGCCGCCGCATGGCTGGCGCGAGGTGGACAATGACCTAGAGATACGCCATGGGAGGGATGCGAAGGCCGCCAAGGAGGACCTGGCCCGTGTCAATGTCGAGCACAGACAACGAAGGGGCCAGTCGCGATGCAACGCGAGGAGTGTCCCATTGCGCCAAGAGCATCCCCGGACTAGAATGCATGCGTACGGATCTGCAGGCAGCGTCGTTTGTACCTTGTCTTGACCTCGCGCATGGGCACCGCATTGTCGAGCGTGTAGAGCAGCGCATATGTGCGCAAGTCCCAGAGCTTGTAGCGCCTACGTCGTCGATGGTACCACTCGCTTGAGAAGCAACGACCTACATGTCTGGCGTCGACGCCGTCAGGATCTTGCTGTTGGCCTCGTCAAACTCGACAAATCCGGGCCATCGGAGCGACTCGCCGACGAAAAGTCCTACGCCTGGCGATGGCGTCTTGCGCAACGCGTGTCTACGTTGGCCATATTGCATGCAAGTCGGATGAAGAGGGACGCACCGATGACTCACGGACCGGCAGTGCAACTCGTCCGTGACGTCCTTGTCCCATGTCGCCGTGAGCACAATTGACGCGTTCAATGGGTTGTAGTAGATGGAGCGCACGCGCTCGCTGGGCGAGAGGTTCATGCACGCCGTGGTGTGTCCGTGGATGGCAAAGCAAGCACCGTCGTCCGTACGACAAAATACCATGTTGCCGCCAAGCGTGAGCTCCGCGACCGCTGCAGCCTTGTGCACTGCCACATGGCGTCGCAGACGGGCCGGACGCAAAACGCTACCATGCTCGTACAGCGACAGCTGGGACGTCGGGCGGACCTGCCGCTCGAGGAGGTGCTGGAAGATGTTGCTCATCCGTGCAACCGCTTCAATCTCGCAGTCCGGATACGGGATTCGAAAGATGGTGTTGCCGTCTAAACAAACGCAACTCGGTCTGGTCGGCTTCGAAAAAAGAAGCCAACACCCAAGGAGATGACGATATACATGCTATCCGCTACCCGCCTACGCCGTTCTAGCAATGCTTGCACAGGGCGAAAGCGAAGAGGTTTCCACGATGGTCTCCTGCCTGCTCGTCTCCATCCAGGGCACACAATGTACCCATCGAGAGGTGCCCGCGCTCAAGGCGCGTTCTTCTAGCTTGAAGTTGATACCAATACAATAGTCGTCGTACTGTTCACGCCTTCAGTCTAAAATCACGTCACACTTCTCGGATTTGAGCCGTCGTATCCGGATTCGTATCATAAAAACAAGCCGCATGAAGGAGCCAGGTCACGGAGCGAAGCTGCGCCGCAGCCCAACGATCGGGTACGACGTCGCCGCCACCGTACGAGGCCCATGCACTTGGCTAGCGACTGCAAGCTGCCTGGAGGCTTTATGATCGAGGCGCGGTCGCTCTGCAGCAACGATTCCCGCAAAGATGTCAACCAAGATACGTTTCTCATGGACGACGCACTGGGCGTCCTTGGCATCTTCGACGGCCATGGCGTGTACGGCGAGCTCTACTCATCCAAGGCCAAATCGCTCGTAATATGCATCTCGTCGTACACGCTCTCATGCGACCGCAGGTCCAGGCGTACCTCCAACAAAAGTCCGACTTTGATGTTCCACGTGCGCTCTCGGGCGCATTCCTGCGAGCGCACCTGCACGTACCGGCCTCTGCTTCGTCTCGTCGAAAAAGCAAGCGATGGTTTTATGTGCTGTAGCTCGTCGACGCCATTGCGCAAGACCGCAACAGCGGCACGACCGCGCTCGTCGCTGCCATCACCCCCACGCGCTTCTACTTTGCCAACGCCGGCGACTGCCGGGCCATCGTACTCGAAGTACGTACATACCTCACGCGACGCTCGCAGGAGTCGATGTTCTTCTCTCTGCGCAGGACGACCCGTCCGGCTCGGTGCTTGTGCATCAAGTGACCACGGACCACACGCTGCACAACCTCGTACGCTTCCAGCCGTCTCTCGCGCGCACGACGCATGTGGTAGGACGAGCGCATGCGCGTGCTAGACTTAGGGCTGCCTTTCCGGGCCCTGGGCGATGGCCGCATCGTCGTTTCACACCCAACGAAATCGGTGGCCCTTGAAGTCCCGTGTTGGCGCACTGAGTGAACGTAGATGACGCAAACGCCGAGCCGGAGCCTCGGGGACACGCACCTCTTGCCCCGCAATGGCGCGTGCGCCGTGCCCGAGATCTCGCAATTGGAGCTCACGCCGCAGTTCCGCTGGCTCGTCCTCGCCTCCGACGGCGTCTTTGACGAGCTCACAAACGAGGACGTGGCAGCGATCCTCTCGTACTGCAACGACCCGGACACGGCGTGTACCGAGATCATCCTCGCTGCGCAGACCGAGTGCGAGCGCAAGGTACGCCACTCACACGTCCTCGCTACCCACACCGATGCGTAGGGGATTACGCACGATGACATCACCTGTGTGTGCGTCATGCGTGCATGACGCGACTCGAAGCGTTTGCAACACGTTATAACAGACAATAAGACAATAAGATCACATTGCATTTAGCAGCGTAGACCGAGTTGTAGTCTCACCATCGCATGTATACCGCCTGGCAGCTAGTAGCTACCGTCGACGCTGCTTGCGGCGCACCCGGCATGGGTCTACAGCCACGTCTCTACCTCGTCTCTACCTAGCGCTAGAGTGTCGTCCGACAGTGCAGTCCGTAGCGATCTACGGCTTCGTCAGGCCATCTACCTACCTTCAGCCAGGCCGACGTTTGGATGGCCGTCGATAGGAGGTAGCCGCTGTACAAGCGTCGACGAAGGAACCGACAATGCCCACGATATAAGTCGACCTAGACAAGCTGGAGCCATCATGAAGTGCGCCTGCACCACGTCCTTGTGCTGCATGAGTGAGAAGCACTACTTCAAGTACGAGACCACTAGTTCGAATGGACGACCCATCGTTGTTGTCCGAGCCCGTCGAGCAACCATTCGCGAGATAGCAAGCCGCGGTATGTTCCTTGGCCGGCTCGTGCGAGACGCGCAAACATTGAGTAACGTCCTCGTGGAGGCAACGGCGAAACCGCGCCGTAGGCGGGCGGGATGGAGAATGACCTGCAGCAGTTCATCCACACGGTCGAAGCGAGCGCCAAGAAGATCCTCAAGGACCATGCAAAGCGCGTGCACCTGGAGGCAGCGCGGTACCTACCGCGTCGTCTTCCTCTTGATTACCATGGTCTCGTAGGGACCGCGTCGAGCGCGCCCGCGGGCACAAACCCGAGCTCGCACCGGCGTCGATATCGCGGGACGAGCTCAAGGCCACGTACGGGCAGTCGGTGCTCATCGTACCGGCGCCCAACAATTCGCGGCCCGAGACGATGCCGGTGCTGGCCTCGCCGCGCGTGACGGCGGCGCCCGTGCATCCCATCGGGCGCAGCGATCCGGTCTTGCTCCCGGCGCTGCGCAAGCAAGAACTGAAGGAGAAGGCGACGGCCAAGCTGCTGCATTCGCCGCTGTACAAGGGCCTTGCGAGCAAAACGCCGTCGGTCAAGGCGGCACTCGCGCAGCTGAACGCTGTCGACGACCTCCGGACGCTTGGACTTGGACTCGCACCGGCGCGGTCGACGCATGTTCACGAGCACAGCACCGAGCGCCGCATGTGCAACGCGTGCTGGGCCGAGCCCATGAAGCGCACGCGCTGCGAGCACGGCCTCCACGGCAACCCGCGCGACCTCGTCGACGTGCAGGTACCGCCAGTGTGTGACACGTTCGTTTCGACTCTTCATAGGGCGCCATGAGCTGGAACATCGACGACCTCTACCACAAGTACCGCGCCGAGGCCGAGCGCGAAGCTGCGTACGCGGCGTCGGAAGCGCTCCAGTCGACACACGACGTTGCCGTCGTCCCGATATTGGCCCGCCACCCGCTCTATACCAAGTACTTTTACGCCGTCGACCAAGACAACCAGTACGCGCAGCACCTCTCGCGATCCAAAAACAAGACCAAGCAGTTCGTGTTGAGCGTGCACACGGTGTGGCTCTCGAACCTCGACCATTTCAACGCCGTCTTTCACGGCGAGTCGGGCAAAGGACTCGCTCGGCGTCTCGACACGACGTCGATACAGGACGGGTACTCGCAAATCCAATCGGTCTCGGCGCACTGCGCCTTGCAGCACTCGGACGACGTTGGTGCGTCACCGCTCTTTCGCGCTGGCGCCGAAATGGCATGCGCGCCACCGCTCGCCACAACGACGCATGCGCGCGCCAACAGCTTTGTGCAAACAAAAAGCCCGATCGACGATCATGGCCTTGTCTCGCTCTCAGTCCTCGCGTGCGGACGCATGGAGTTTCTCGGCACCGTGCCTGGCACTGTGCCGCTCTCGACCTTGCCCGGTCTCTGGTGGTGCAAAGAACCGTTCACGCGCCCCGCCGCCATGTACCTCCGTGACGCGCGTGTGTCATCGTCCGACACGATCCTCGTCCACGTTGTGCTCGCGCTCGACTCGCCGTGCCTCTCGCCGCGCTGGTTTGCGTGGGTGCCCGGCTCGGTCGCGGCCGCCGTCGAGCGTGAGATTCTCTTTGGTTTTGGCCTTGTGCCCGCGACAACGGTTGTGCTCTTCCGGCCACCGTCCGTCGAGTCGCCTCTCGACACCTACTGGCCGTCCCCGGTGCTTCTCGCCAACGGCTGGGATGAGCATGCGCCCGAGATGCCCGAGTTTAACACGATTCGCTTTCGCCAATGGCTGCGCTACGCGACGATACCTCCGAATTTCGACTTGCGCGCTAAAGCGTACGGCATTCGGGGTGGGTACTTAAACCGCACGGGCCTCAGCGGGCGCTTCTCGTGGCATTCCGACGACGTTGTCGACGCCGAAGACCTCGTGCGCGTGCGTCTGGAGAAAGTGAGATATATCAGTTCTGAGTTTGCCTTTTGACACGTCGCATGGTAGGACTATGTGGTCGTGGCCGAGAACAAGCGGTCGCGCGGTAGCAACGACCCCAACATGTATACGCTCGAGATGCGCCACGAAGCGATTGAGGCGGTGCACACGAGTGGCCTTCACGCATTCCTCGCCGCCAAGCAAAAGCAGCGTGAGGAAGCGCGTCTCCAGCAACAAATGCGCGAAATTGAAGTCAAACTCCAAGCTGGTCGCTTGGCCTTGGACGCCAAGCGTGCCGAGAAGCGACGGTAGACACCCCGTATATGCATAGGTATGCCACGACGACGTTAGGTTGGAGGCCGAGGCGCTGCTCAAGAAGGAGCACATGCAAGCAGAGCGCGATGGAAAAGCCGCCATCGACGTACCTCCATCGATTCGATAGAGGAATCGTGACCAGGACTGGTGTAGGCGTCGACGGTCGACGAGTGGCGGGACCGCGTCGCCCACTCGGTGCTGCTGCGCGAGTGGAATGGCTGGGAAGAGCGTCGGCACGACCCGACGCACGTAGTCTTTTACCACCACAGCAATCCAGAGCTCTTGAACGGGTCGTCCTGGGATCCTCCGCCCGGCTGGCCGCTCGACAATGAAGACGAGACACCGCTAGAGGCGCCATTATCAAGCAGCGATTCCCCGCGGTCCCTCCTCTCGGAGCCATTGAGAGAACCGAATGACGAGACCAAAGAAGACGAGGACGTGGCGAAAATGGCCAAGCAGCTCGCCGAGAACGAGGTGTTTCTCGAGCTGCTCCGAGACAAACTCGGCCTTGTCGCCAAACGCAAACGAGCCAAGACACATGCCAACACACACGACGACTCGTCGTCCGAGAGCGGCGACTCGGAGAACGACGACGACGATGGCATTGCCGCGCGGGTACTGCGGACGCTCGAGCGCGAGCCTTCGATCCAGGAGACATCGACGATGAGTGTGAAGCGGCTTTTGCGGCTTCAGATCACAAAGGAAGCGACGCCGACGCAGCCGGTCCGACCCGGCGAAGGCTGGAAGCGACTCAATGTCGCCAAGCTCCCGAAATCGTTTGCTAAAAAAGTGTACGAGCCCAGCACGGCGACGCCGCCGGTACGTCTCGCAATACATCTACCGCATCCCGCATAGTACTGCGCTGGTGTAGCCGACCGCTGTGGGCCCCAACATTCCGTTGGTCGCGGGGCTCATCGACCCGGCGAAAACCGGCACGTACGAGCAGCCCAACGACGTGCCCGACTTTCGAGAGCTCTTCGTGCCCGTACGTGCGATCCCACACGGCCTGTGCGCCACGCTTGATGCTAGAGCTTGGAGGCCGAAGTTGTCCTGATGAACAAGCTGCTGCAGTCGCAGGCCAAACGCCAAACGCGCACGAGTATCGCCGACGTCTTTGCGACCGCCGATGCCGACGACGACGACGAGCCGCTTTTGCCCGAGTCGGAAGCCGACAACATTCGCAAAGCGGTGCTGTACACGCGCAACAACAACGTCAAAGAGGTAAGCCATCGTTGCTCTCTTCCGCAAGCATGGGCGCTCGTAGCTTGAAAACATGCTGGATCTCGGCGTGCACGTCAACGCCCAAGACGAGAACGGCAACTCGCTCTTCGTCCTCGCGTGCCAGCAAGGCAACAAGAACATGTGCAAGTTCCTCATGCGCCGGCGCTGCGATACCACCATGCAGGTCCCATATTGCATATCGTCGTCTCATCCTCGAAGCTGACGATGATGGCGCAGAATTTCCGCGGCAACACGGGCTTGCACTACTGCTACGAGTACAAGTGGACCGAGCTCGCCGAGTACCTCAAGGAGAAAGGCGTCCGCGACGACATTCCCAACGCCGACGGGCTCATGTGCTACGAAGGCATCTCGTCCGAGCACCTCGCAGCGCTGTAATTTAATTACTTGAATTACACTCGGATGCCTCAAATCACATGCATGATAAGCTGGCGGGCCTCTACGACGAGCGGACGAGCGGCTGCGCACGTCAGCCGACGCGGAGGTACATAGACACGAGCGCACTTGGTTGCTATCAGCTGCGATCTGACGACCGCTGTCGCCAGTGTACCGTAGTTTATGCTGAGCTTGGCGCACCCAATACGCAGGCGCAGGCTCATGGCCTCGCTTCACGAGCTCCGGTTAGCTTTCTGCGCGCGGGCGGGTGCCTTCATGAGTGTCGACAGGTGGTGGTCAAGGCAAGGCGATAGTCTAATGGAGCCGGGTCTCGGAATATATTCTTAATACAAATCGCCTTCGAAGAGGACCTCGTCCTCCTTCTTCTTATAAATCTGGTCGCCTTCGTGGAGCGAGTGCTCAATGAGGTCGGGGTTCTGGTGCATCGACCGGTTGTTGGTCGTCGCGGGGCGCTTGTCGCCAGTGAGCGGCGTCATGACCTCTTCATAGTCCTCCGACGCCTCTTGCTCGCGCATCAATGCCGTCTGCTTGGCGCGGTTGCGGACCTTCGAGCCAAAGTGGACGCAGGCCATGAGGAGCGCGACGCCCGCAAAGACGATGGCCGTGACGGCCGGGCCCGAGAGCTCGATACCGGGCGACACCTTCTTGTGGTAGAAATCCCACTGCGTGTCCCACGGCGCAGAGTCAATGCCATCGCCGAGGCAGCACTTGAGGTTCTTGCCCCAGAGCGCGTTCGTGCGCGTGCACTGCCCAGACAGGCCCGTGCACTTGGTCGCGAGCTTGTCCCACGTGTAGGTCGCCGACTTGTCAAACGTGAGCTCGGTCGAGAGGCAGCCGGCAAGGAGGATCGCCGAGCCTTGCTGCGCGCCGTAGCAACCACCGTTAATCTGCTTCGAGCCCGTAATGTTGATCGACGTCGCGATACCTTCCATCTTGACGTACGTCTGCTGGACCGCCCAAAAGTTCTTGCAATCCGTCGACGCCATGAGCAACGCGCGCAGCGGCTTCTTCGTGTTGGGCGGGTTGCTCGTGTCCGTCACACTCCACTTGAGCGTCGGGCCATAGAGGAAGCCACAGTCTTCCGTCTTCGCCGGGTTGGCCTCGGCGTTGCAGCTCGGCATGACCTTGCTCTTGGACGGCGACGCGTAGCAGCAGCCGTTGGAAACGGGCGTCGAGTAGATGGCCGGCAAGTTCTGCACCATGGTTGCGTTTGTAAAGTTGAGCGCAAGGCCATCCGGGCCTGTCGCCGGGCGCACACACGTATACGGGCACGTCACGCAGCCGCCGCCGAGCGGCGAAAAGTTGCTCCAGCCTACCACGTTGCATGAGATCGCAATGCCACGTCGCCATGCGCATCGTACCCTTGAAGTCGACCGCGACTTGGTAGCCCGTCGACTGGTTCCACTCGACGGCGCCGGCGAGGGCTGCCGTGAGGAGGACCGAGATCGTCTTGCGCAGCATGGTGGCAAGCCGTGGGTCGTCGAAAATTAAAACTGACTGCTGGCCGCGAACGGGTGCCAGCGTTCGTTCGAATATCGGTTAAACCTTCGATATAAAACCGAGATAAACCGTCAAGAATCTCCTTTTTTGTCGCGTTAAAGTCCAGCCCCACCGCGTTAAACGTGAATGATCGGCGTCACGCTGGCGCCAATTGTTTCGAACGCGCTGTAATTTTACGGGCTCGACTTTACACGAGAAGCTCGATGCCAGTTTAAAAAAATATTTGTACTTGCATTTTGTATATAAGGCGGAGAAAACCATTTAAAATTATGACCCGAATGGTCGGTTCATTACACCGGTACGAGACATTGCGGCGGCGAAAATTTAATCCGGTCGCCAGTACGCATTTTTATTCCTTTTATAAAAAATAGCTGGATATTTGTATTCCCGTAAAATGAAATACCGCGCCGGTTCTTAAGAAGCGGGGAAGACGGAATTGCCAGAAATAAGACAAGGACCAAGCCATTGTAACGATGCGCCTCCAATCAAATCGCTTGCAATGAAAGAGCCGGCGCCAAAGCAACTCAAGTAGGGCAATTACCGGAACAAGCGCCAGGCAGGGCATAGGCGAGCGTGGGACCACGCCAATGATGGGAAGCCAGCCGCCAAGACCGATGGCGACCGACTGAAATGACTCGAATAAAGTATGCAGGGACCCGAACGGCGTGGGCCGATCCACCCAACTGCTCATTACATAAAAAGCTTGCTCGAGTCCACTCCTGCCTACGTCTGGTCGTCTTCCCCAAGATGGTCGAACTGGGTATGCTTGTCTCGGGCATCGTCGGGGTCCTTGGCGGCTTCTCGGCGGCGCTGGCCGGCTGGTCGCCGCTGTCGCTCGGCGCCCGCCCGCTCTTTGTGCTCTCGCAAGGCCTCTCGGTATTTGCGATCGTCTTTATGGCGATCTACTCGCCGCTCTCGTACGTGACCAACACGTCCGAGGGCACGGCGCTCGGCGTGGCCGCTGGTGTCGGCGCCGGCTTGGGCCTCGTCGCCGCCTTCCTCACAGTGCTTAGCCCGTACTTTTTGACGGCTGCGACCGGCCTCATCATTGCGCCGTACCTCCTCGTGCTTGACGACTCGCTCGGCCACCTCTTTGAGGGCCAGTCGTCGTTTGCCAAGCAAGAGTTTGTCGTCGGCTTTGCGCTCCTCTGGTTTGTGCTCTTTCTGTCGCACTCGAAGACGTCCGACACCGAGTGCCACCGCTTCAAGTACGTGCTCTTTAGCGCGATCACGGGCGGCTGGCTCTTCAGCGACGGTATCTTCCGCCTCGTCTTCTCGAACCAGGCGCCGCTCTCCAAGATCATGTTTGGTATTATGGGCATCCCGTACGAAGGCGTCGTGTACAGCCTTAGCGAAGGCATTTCGGACAGCAACAAGCTGTACGTCATGGTCATCTGGGCCGGCACGGCGCTCCTCGGCGCGCTCAACCAGCTCAGCATGCGCTGGGGCCTCCTCTGCTACAACAAGGTGGGCGCCCACGTCGGCATGACGTCGATCCACGAAGACACGATGGACTTGCCGTCGGGTGCCGCGGCCTCGGCGCCGTTCATGCACGAGCGCACGCGCCTGGTGTGTGAGAACTGCTTTGCAACCGTCCCGGCTGGCACGGCGTTCTGTACCGAGTGCGGCGAAGCGATGCCGACCGAGGACCACGTGCCCAACGTCTCGATCTCGCAGGCGCAGATGCCGTCGCTCGCGATGGCCGCCGACGGCACGACGCCCGAGCGATGGCAGCAGATCCCGAACCGCGCGTACCTCTCGACGACGTCGTTTGTGGACCCGAAGAAGATGACGGAAAACAACACGGAGTCGCGCTCGATCCGCTTTATGGACGCGGGCGACAAGCCGTACGGCGCGTCGATGAGCGGTCGCCCAAACCACTACGAGCCGTCGTTCCGGTCGTTTGCCATGTCGACGTACTCGATCGCGAACCGCGCGGCCGAGCCCGTCGAGACGCCCAACATCCGCAAGTACAAGATGTCGGGCGGCGCAGCGTTCCACTTGATTTACTTCCTCTCGGCCATTGCTGGCATTGTGTGGCTGGCCTTTCTCATTACGTTCTACCCGCGCGAGACGCCGTGCAGCGTGTCGCAGCCGCAGCTCTCGTGCTCGCTCATTGAGCAGAGCGTCAAGACGGCGTTCAACTGCACGCCGAGTACCAACCCGCAAAACATCAACATCCAGACGCAAGAGCCCAACTGCATCAAGGCGACGCCCGGTGGCGTGTGGTTTTGCTACGTCATCTTTGTCGGGTCCGAGTACCTCAACTTCTTCCTCGGCCTCTTGTACAACTTCTCCATGTGGCGTCCGATCCGCCGTGGTGCGCGCTACCTCAACGACTTCAAGCCCGCGCTCCCGAAGGAGCAGTGGCCGACCGTCGACGTCTTCTTGTGCCATTACTCCGAGCCGGTCGTCGACTCGATGAAGACGCTCAAGAACATTCTCGCGATGCAGTACCCGCCCGAGCTCCTCCACGTGTGGATCTGCGACGATGGGTACACGCGCTCGGTCTGGGACGCCAACAACCACTTCAAGGTGACGGTCAACACCAAGAACATTGAGCAGTGCGGTGACATTCGAGGCGACGTGGCCCGCATGATGCACGAACGCGTCGTCGGCCCGGTGCAAGACGACGCTTCGCTCAAGGCGTGGCGCCGCCAGCACTCGTCGGTGCGCGAGCTCAAGAAGGATGGCATCAAGGGCGTTCAGCGCCGCGATTGCGCCGTTGGCTCGTTGAGCGATGACTACGACTACCGTGATCGCGGCCTTCCGCGTGTGACGTTTGTCGGTCGCATGAAGCCCGAAGAGCACCACGCCAAGGCCGGTAACATCAACAAC